TTGAAGTTATTACCCTGCAAGAAAAATATTTGAATAGTATGACTACCATATCTTAGGTCAAAAACGAGTGTTTTTCTCTTTCTTTTGGAGGGAAAATTTGGCTTGTGTTCGGGCCCGTGTTGTAAAATAAAAGAAATCTCGGTTATCGCAAAGCACAAACCACTGTGATGTGCACAGATGATGTCAATAGTTTGAACAGCCTAGCTGTTAACAAATTGAAGAAATAGCGCAATTGAAATATAACTAACTGTATTCGTTAAAGCAGTAAAGCGAAAGAATGATAATGATTGTGAACAATAAGAGAATGTACACAAAGCCTTCTCTCGGCCGATGTGTCAGCGAAAATATATATTACGAATTAAAAATTATGGAATAAAATTTATCAAAGAATTTAAAACTTCATTCATCTATACCAGGGTTTTAAAATATTTTTTCAATCGCCATCCTTTTTTATTACTGAGATTTTTTTGCGACCCCATAATATTTACAAAAATTTAGTGAAGTCTCATAAGTATTGCGCAAATCCGACACACGCGTGTGTGAAACTGTCAATTTTTACTGTAATATACCATTGCAGTTTTAGGTCATTAACTTTAATTTCTAGTTTTAAGACATACAACAATGTGAAAATTTTAAATAAGTAACAGACGAAATGACAGCGCACGTGCAAAGCAAGGAAAATGAATGTTTATATTATAAAAAGAATGCGTCGAAACGTTTTCGTTTTTTCTTTGTCTCTGAACATATCTATTTTCAGATAAATTGTGTAAAAATATTTGGTAATTGTAAAATCATTATAATAAGTTAAAGAAATATCAAAATTGCTCAAATTTTTGGCGACCCCCTGCTGCAGGTTCCGCGACTCACAGTTTAAGAAACCCTGCTCTATACTTCGAAACGGATTGTGTTCAGCTTTGAAGGTCTATTTCTTTTCAGTTACAGTTTTGGACTGATTGATCTATCTTTCCAAACTATGTAATGCCTCACGAAATGTATAAACAAATCTGCTTTTTACGTATAGATCCAGTTGGGTTATATTTTTACGGAAGCAGGCACCTAGGCTTGTTAGCCCCATCCTGGGTAGAGTAGCGTTGTAGATATGCATGATTTTTTGTAATAGCATTTCTGAGGGAACAGTATGGGCAAGACCCAGTAATAAGATTTTCTAAAAGATGTGATTAAGATAATAAGGCTGAAGCAGGGTAGCAGGTAGTGAAGCTGTATGGAGCTGGCGAATACGATGTAGCAATTATTATCAAATTTGATGAAAGTGCAGGATTTACACATACAAACGCTTCTTATCCGTATCCGTGGAATAGAGTTTAGATCTCACCGTATATAAACCATACTTTGGCTTGATATTTTTATGCCATTTGAAAAAAAAAAAAAAAAAAAATTAAAGACACTTGTACTATAAAGGTTGTTCTGGCATAAGTTTATCCTATGTAATTACTAATAAACCTTAATGTACCCTAAGAAGATAACATCTGAGTGTGCTGAACTCACGATCTTCCCTTGTAGAATTTCTAAGTGGATATGCCAGACAAGTGGTTCTTAACCTGTTTTACTCCATGCGTCCTTTTCACCATTGCTAGAAAATCATACCCCTTCCTTACGAAACACGTTTATTTAGATTATATAATGTGTTTTTATAAATTAATAAACCTAAAGTATAAAAAATGTTGAAAAATACCAAAGATCGAGTAATAGAAGTTTTCTATATTCATAAATTAAAACTAAATACTTAACAACTTTCTTTCTGAAACTATAAAACCCCCTTTAATTGAGATCCCCTGTATTAAGACTGAAGGAACAACCGAGTAGAAAGGGTTAAGAAGTTAAGTGCAAAAGAACTTGGAACTACACTCACGTTTGTGAAAATTGCAACACCAAGAAGGAATCGTCATAATTGAATGCAATTTAATACACAGTTGAGTGGTAGTGGTACAAATAAATGATTAAATGTTCAAAGCAAACAAACAAGAACAAGAGATCAGAATCAGTATTTTGTGTGGCCACCACGCGCCGCAATAAGTGCTGCTACACGACGTGGCATGGAGTCAAACAAAGTTTGAATGTCTGACTGAGGAAGAGCATTCCATATCGTTTGTACGCGTACCCAAAGTTCGTCTGCAGACGCAACAGGACGAGGATCACGAGCAAGACGCCGACCAATGACATCCCACCACATGTTCAATTGGCGACATATCCGGGGAACCACGCAGGCCAAGGAAGAAGCTGTACCTGCTGCGCTGCAAAGAAGGATTTACAATCCGAGCAGTATGAGGGCGGGCATTGTCCTGTTGAAATACAGCGCCTGGCAAGCTTTGAAGGAAGGGAACAGCTTCGGGCTGTAGAACTTCACGGATATACCGGTTGCTGTTCAGATTGCCCACAATTCGTAGCAATTGAGATCGTCTATGATATGCTATGGCGCCCCAGACCATAACTCCGGGTGTTCGTCCACTGTGGCGTTCGATAATGCACTCCGGAAGGTGGCGTTCACCGGCATAGCGTCTGACACGAATGCGGCCATCATGGTACCACAAATTAAAGCGGGATTCGTCAGAAACACGACATGCTGCCAATCAGCACGCCAGTCCTCTATGCTGATTGGCCCATTGTAGCCGCAGGCGGCGATGGTCGTGCGTTAGGGGGATCCTGTATAAAGGAGTCCGTGCGCGCAGTCCACACTGCAGCAGACGTCTACGAATTGATGAAGCACACAATGAAACACCTGTAGCTATTGACCACAGTGCTGCCAATTGTCTAGAGGAAGCTGTACGGTCCGTCCGCGCCATGCGGACCAGGTGTCTATCATCGCGAGCTGACGTCACATTTCGGGGTCCACTCCCGGATTTCCGAGTTGTCCGACACTCGTCCGTCCACTGCTTCCAAACGCGCATCACTGTGCTGCTGTTACGCTGCACACGAGAGGCTACTGCACGATACGACAATCCAGGCTTCACGAAGGCCGATGATTTCTCCCTCGTTCAAACTCTGTAAGTTGTTCAAATCTCGCTCTCTTTCGTCGACGAGGCATAAGTACAGATTGAGTTAACGTTTACCACTAGCAGATAACCACCGATAACCATACACTCCTCGCTACAGCCGTCTATTTATTCGGATCCATCAGCCGTTCAGAGGGCGCTGCTCAGCATACGCATGCGCTACGGATTTGCAATTCTAATCATTTGCATATCATGCGCTACTTTGCATTTCCTGAAAATTTCAGCTCACTCGCGTAAGTCCTTCATGGTGTTGCAATTTTCACAACGTGAGTGTAGTTTTCAGTTACGTTGAGTGAATCGAGGGAAATTTGTTTGCTTCTGTTGCGTTCTTACGGGTTCGCATATTTGGAGTGATTAACGATAACACTTGATGCAAACGCAGTTTATTAGCCAGTATTACTCAGGACAGCTCCAAAAACATGTTTACGGTCGTAGAAAATCTATGACAAACACACCGAAACAATCAGCAGCACAGCCTTCAGGCTATAACGGTGAAGACATCTTCACGGCAAAGCACTAGAATACAGCTCTCGACTCGCTTTGTTCGTTCTCGAAACTCAATGTACTCTCGAGACTCTCCACACTACAACTCGCGATGCACTCGATAGCCTCAATGATGCATCAATTCGTTATACGCTGACGAGACACCTCGATAGATTGCTACTCCTACTACTAGGCAGGGTTTATGTAAACTTTTGCCTGCCTTCGAGAACATTCTGGGCCAAACCGTTAAGGATTCGTTCCAGAATGTTCTCTATCCGTCTAAGCAATATCGCTAATTTTGTGGCCAAACGGACGATTTCGCTTCAAATATGGCAACCCTGCCTTCCTTTGCTATTTTCTGGCAACTCTAAACCCGCTTTGCGGAGTAACACTTCTAATCAATATGAAACGAAGCGTTAAATTTATTTTAAATTAAATAATGTAAAAGTCTTGACGAAATGATCACCAACTATGGCAGACTGCATAATAAGGTGAAAATGTTAATGCAATTGAAATATAATTGTATATTTTTTTTAATAGCTGCGCCATCAAATATTTAGAGGCAAAATAAGACTTTAATCAGTTTTTTAGCACAAAGGGTCAATTTTCCCAGAACTATTTAATTCGTATGGGCATTTTGCGTTAGTTCACTAAAAACGGCATTTCACTTTTTCAAATTGTTGCCACTAAATATTAGAGCCCTGCATTATATTTAAAGAAATTCTATAATGAAGAATCTACATGATGTAGGAATGTTTCTCGCATTGTGAAAAAACAACGGAACCTAGACACATCAGATTTTGAATAAGGTAGTCCTGCACTCGAATATGGACATCTGGAAGCCCAAATTTGGAATTTTTTTCTTTATCTATTTCATATTTTGTAACTTTAACGAATTTTTGATTAACAAACTCAAGGATTTCAAAGCGAGCAATGGCAACACTGTATAAAACACTTTTAAGCGCGCGAGATTGTCTATCAGAAAGTGTAAAGATATGCTGCTTTCAAATATTTTGTGCTTTTCCTTTTGTGTTAAATCGAATTTTATGATTTAAGTGCGGAGAACATACTGTTTAATAAATAAAGGTAACTCAGAAAACATTAAAGGAACGCCCCTTTGGACTTAATATGAAATCTGAAAGCTTTCAATTTTTTAAAAAAAACTTTTACTATTTTATTCTCTAATATAGCTTTTGATGTTTTTGATGAGTTTTTGATGATTGTAATGATTATTCCTTTTTGCTTACGGTATTTAACACAGCTCAAATTCGCGTAGTATGCATTTATTAGATGCAGTTAACGTTCAGCGAGTTTTATCTGTAGTAATAAAAAAGCTAATTTGCGTCACGAGTAAAATATTGAAGATCATCCGTATCTGCTTTATGTCCTTATTCAATATAATTAAATGCTTTATGTTAGCTGCTATTTATTATCATGAATTTTGATAAGCAAGTCTTGCAAGTTAGTAACACAAAAGCCTTCTATATTGTTTCTGTTAGTACATACCATTGTGCTTCGCTTTAAGTGTATCCCAGCTGTGGACTGCCGAGTCATCCGACCCGCAGAGTATGACTCTGCCGCTGGTAGAAAGAGCGCATGACGTGAATCCACTTTTGTTGGAGGGCGTCTGATAGAGACCAATTTGTTGGTCAGCACGGATATCAAATAAACGGGCTGTTTTGTCGTCGGAACCCGTCCCGAAATAGAATCCGCTTGAATGAAACTGCAATTAATTAAAAGGAAAAGAAGATAAGGTTAATGAGACTATAAAAATTCTATTAATAAAGTTGCATGAAGTCGATTAAATTTCTTTATTTTATTTATTTATTTATTTTTTTAAAGTTAAACGTTCTTTTTTTTTTTTTTTTAGTGTTCAACAATTTTATTTTCAAAGATAGAAAACTACCAGCAGGTCAATTTTCTCTTGAAAGTAGATAGAAAACTAACATATGTTCTCCCGAATTCTTACTGCTTTCAGTGGCATAGCTAAAGGGGTCAGTTCGCTCTGGGCGGCACGTTTCTGGGGGAGCCATTTTTTACGTGAAACAACATTTTGTAGAGGTTAGTCAGATGGATCGCCAGCCAAGTAGAGAATAATGGGATTCTGATTTGACGTACGGAATTAAATTGATATGAAAAATAGTTTTTCCTGTAGATAAAGTTTAAAAAAAAATTACCGCGACATTTCAAAACAGCTATATACACTTGTTATACTTTTTATTTCGTCAAAACTTTTGATTGAAAAATACGGATATAAACTACATTTTGATCACGGTGATATGAAGAAGGAAGAAATCCTGGTTAAGAGAGTTTATCTTCGTTATTTCCCTTGTTGCTTGAAGAACAAAACACGAACTTGAAATGGCGGTCCTTTTGAATTTGCTGTTTATTCTAAAATACAATCTCCAGAACAAAGTTTCAAATATTGTAATAGTACTACAGACATTTTTCACAATGGCTGTAAGTACTACTAGTTGTGAGAATGAATGGTTTAATGTTAGTACGGTAAAGCCTCGAGGATCATCTGCCTAAAGGGAGGGATGCCTCTGTGGAGGACTTTCTGAGGAAAACGCCCATGCAGGCAGCCCGTTCGTGGGATTCGAACGTAGGACCGAAACCGAACTAACAGTGTTTCTGCGACTTTACTGCTCGGCCGTGGTGGCCCTACTGGTTGTGAGAAAAATCATCTAAATAAAACTCATGTTAGAAGTATTTAAGGACTATACATTTATTTAAGATTTTTTTTTTTTTTTTTTTTTTTTTTTTTTTTTTTTTTTTTTTACTGTCTACATAAGAGCAACTGGAGTAATTATGTAGACTTTGACATCGATGTTTTTTTTGGAGGGGGGGGGGGGAAGAGAAAAAAAAACAAAGTCAAAAACAAATATGTTAAAAAGTCGGAATGAAAGTTTTTCTTAAAAGTAAACGTGGAGTTTTAATAAATTTGCTTTTAAGTCATTTTTGATATTTTTTAGTTATTAGCCCAAAAGGGCTGTAGCCCGTAGAGCTATTAGTCTCAAAACGGCATTTTGTGGCGTTTCACTATAAACGGCGAATCACTTTTTAAATTGTTGCCACCATATATTATCACTCTGTATTATATTGAAAGAAATTAAATTATGAAGAATCTGCATGAATGTATGTATGTTCCTCGCATTGTGAAAAAAACAACGGTACCTAGAGCAATCAAATTTTGAATAACCTGATCCTGTCCCGAACATGCGCACCTGGAAGCCCGAATTTTTAATTTCGAATTTGTTTTATTATCTATTTCATATTTTTTAAAACTTCAACGAAAATTTTGATTAACAAACTTAATGATTTCAAAGTGAGCAATAGCAACACTGTACCAAAATAATAATAATAATAATAAAAACACGACATTTTGTTTCCAGTGCGCGAGACTGTCAGTCGAAAAGGCTAAAGATATGCTGTTTTTAAATATTTTGTGATGTTGCTGTTGAATTGAATTTTATTTAAGAAACACATAAAATTCAATTCATGAATTTTATGTGGTTCTTGAACATGACATTTAATAAATAAGCGTAACACACAAAACGTTAAAAAACACCTCTTTAGGCGTAATATAAAATACCAAAGCTTTCAGATTTTTTTTTTATTTTCTGTTTTTTTCTTGTATATGGAAAGGGGCGGTAAATGCTTTAGCTATGCCATTGGTTGCTCTATAATTTCACACGTTTTGTCCATGTAAAGGCCTTTCATACTAGGGTTTACCTGCGCTAACGGACACACCAAGCACAGCTGATACAGTTTGAAAACCAGATTTCCCCCCATAGCGGAGCTAGCTGAAAAATCTGAACTTCACGCATAACGGAGCTACCCAGGGCCTAGGATTGCAGTTTGCAGTGTTAAATACCATCCATTTCTACATCAGATTAGAGAAGAGCAAGGTAACAAAACACATAAAAGCAGGAGCAGGGAGATAAAAGGGGAAAGCCAACATGTCTAGGGAAAGAGAAGAAAGGAGACTTAAGTTGCGTTCAGACGTCGTATACGTGGTTTCAGCTAAGCTGCGTTGCCAGGCAACCAATCTGTGCTACGTCACAAAATCTGGCTTAGGTTTCTTGGCATAAAGTTCCAAGTTTGCAACTTGGGATAAACGTCGACCAGTCAGAGCGAACGCGCGAAACCTGATTGGAAAAACGGAGCGGGAAAGCTGTAGACACAAATCTACGCATGTGCAAATTTAGCTTCTCTAATTGGGTGCGGCTTAAACCCCGTGTCGCAGGTGTGAACGGAACTCCCGCATTTTATTCCTTGTGACTATGTAACTTGTTCAAGCCGTACTTCGTTGCTAGGCAACCACACCTCGCTACAACACAAAACTGGTTTAGGGGTTTGGGCATAAAGTTCGAAGTTTTCAGCTTTATGCCAACTTGGTATAAGAGTCGCCCAATTAGGGCGAAACTTACTGAGGGGAGGAACAGAGAGGGAAAGCTGTAGTCACATCCACGCATGCGCAAATTTAGCTTCTCTAATTGGTTAGGGCTCAGTCCCTGTCTCGCAGGTGTGAACGAAACTCACGCATTTTATGCCTTATAACTATGCCTTAGTAACTTTTATACCACCGTCTGTACGAAGCCATAGTCTTCATAAGAGTGGAAAAGATGAGTAGAAAGAAAGATCATAAAGTAAAAACAGAAAATAGGATCCTTGGAACATGATACGGCAATTGTAAAATGAGCAAGGTGAAGAAGGGCCTCGTGAGCCATGCCGAGGCCCGAACTCACGAGGATTTGAAGAAAAGTTGCAGATAGGAGACTCGACGATAGTAGTGTGATCAAGGTGGCGAAAATTAGTCCATATTTTCAGCAAAGTTTATCAGTATCTGGGGCGCTTTAACTCATTCGATGGATTTCTCTGCGTTACGTTTAGCATCTCTAATATTCTGAATCGCATTCATGATATTTTCTAAAAAATTTAGAATCTTTTCATCTTTCAACTAATCAGTTGCTTCTTTGAAATGAGGGTGGAGTTTCTCAGTTCTCTGCTTTTCACTTTATAAGCGCGCCGCCCAGACGTTATAATGCTTAGGAGAGCCGACTGCGGTACCAAAGGGCCCGGATTCGAATCCCGGAGAAGGCATCGTTGTAAATGTCCGTCCCTTCATAGGAGGCAAAGGTGGTCCACAACCTCAATAATAAAGTGACCACCACTTCTGGTCCTAGTAGTGGCCAAGCCGAAGTCGGCTGTGAGCCCGCCATTGGTTTAAAAAAAAAAACCTTATCAGCGTAGGTTGGTCTTTTAGAACTTTGGAGTAAATCAGCAGAAAAATTGTTAAGAAGAGGAAAGTCATGCCTTGTTATTGTAGGAGTTTTCTTATTTAACCTTTCTTTAGGTTTTTCAAACTTTTTCTGGTAGTATTGACACCCGCAATAATTACTAACATGCCCTTCACATAAATAACAAGTGGGTGTATCCTCCCGTTATTTTGAAAAACGTAAACTACTATGTTCATGTCCACGTTTGCAACATTCCTCTACCTGTACTGTAAACCACCCTGCATATGCTGGTCATCAGCATAATCACTATGCTTAAATATGGCATATGTCTGTTGCATAGCGTACATTGTAATGTATGTGTATTCCTAATGTATTTATAAGATAAGAGTTGAGTGTGTACTGTGCAAAACCATGTCATCAGCATATTCATAAGTCATAAATAAGTCATTTGCACATTGTAATGTGCATATATCTATCTGTGGACACCTACGGCGCATTATGCACAACGTCATCTGCACTGTAAACTAGAAACGTCTAAGTTCTTTAAGGTTCCAGCCTGGTGTGGCGAATTCAAGGCATGGAAACCTGCCGTAGAATATAGTTATGGAAGGCTAGATTGTAACAAGAATCTATCATAGTATGACGGATAAGCCATTACTTTGCTAACTAAATGGAACTGTCAAGTAGACTCAGCTCAAGTTGCACCAATCAAGTAGATTCATCTTTTTTTTTGTTTGTTTCCTTCAATGGCGGGCCTTCAGCCGACTTCGGCTTGGCCACTGCCGAAGTGGTGGTCACTTTATTATGGAGGCACCTAAGAGATGGGCCATCTTTGCCTCCCATGAAGAGACGGGGGGAAGGCTCTCGGCCTGTTTCAAGGGTCATATGCTTTTAAAAATAACACTCTGGTTTTTCCACTTCTGGTAATAGGATCATTCTGTCTCACAATAAATTGGCTCCTACAATGGCTCCTTGTCTCCAATGTCTCCTTGTCTCCAATGTCTCCTTGTCTACAATGGCTCCTTGTCTCCCATGATATAAAATACAACTGAGCATATATCTCCATAGTGTTGGATACAGAAGAAGATTTCTTTCTGATTGCATCTGCTTATTTCTCACACAGTAAAAATAACGATTCCTTACTATTTGAACAAGATTACCTTAAATTAAGCTCATTCAAAAATCATATCTTAGAAGGAGACTTCAATGCTTCGCGCTGCCACTGAAAGTGCAACCACTGAAAACTCAAAATTGGCCCCAATCATGGATTTCATTGAATCTAATCACATAATGATTCTAAATACGAAACCTTTTCCCTCTTGATCAAGACATCTGATCAGTACTGGGAACAATGGACTTCACATCTGTTAAAAACCAAAGAACACTGCCTAAAATATTGCAATTCTGTAATGAACGATATTCATACTCACCAACTAGCTAAGCAAACGTTGCATAAACTTCTTTTCCTCATTTATTTTAT